CTTATCAGCCTTTGCTTACTGTGGCCATCACCCAGCTCCATCTTGGACTGGAACCCTCCTATAACCTCCCCAAACCAGTGACCCTAGGGTTCAAAGAGGGTGCATGGGGTCCCCCCCCAGGAGCCAACTTGGGGGAGGGTAATGGGATCCCCTTGCCCCCCCCACCTACGGTGAATCAGCAACTCTAGCCTCCAGCAGGGCCAGCAGCTTTACACCCAGTGATCCGATGATGCTCATGAGCTGGCAGCAGAGCTCGGATGGCCTGGCACGGGCCAGCTGTCAAGGCAGCCTGGCCACCGCACCTCCACCTCCTCCAGGAAGTCTCCCATGCTCCCTTCCCCCCAGAGGTGGGGCAGTGTCCCAGTTCTGCATCCATCCCACCTCCAGTGGCTTCTCAGGACCCCGGGCTGTGCAGCTACACTGACCATGTGGTGGTCGACTCGAGGCCAGGGTAAAGAAGCCTGTGCCTGAGCCCCATGGACATCCCCCTCCCCAAATGAGCACTAAGGGCAGGCCCAGTAGGGATTGAAAAGGGCCTTCCTCCTCGTCCAGACAGCCCACAGTCCAGGCTGCACTGTCATTAGCCAGAAGGAAAAGGCATGCTGTCCCCCCACCCACTCCAGTCAGTGGGGACCCAGGGAGTAGGGCCTGGAGCCTGGAATGCCAGCTGAGTAAGAGGGAGGCCCTTTATTGAGCACCCTGTGAGCAGGCACTTCACATCCACACTTCACCGGGGCCCCATGAGCTAGGAAGTCACCCCCAGACCCCCAGACACAGAGACCCTGCCAGGGAGGAGCCACAGTGCCCATGCCTCCGAGCAGCGTCCTGTCCCCAGAGGCTCTCGGCCTGCACCATCCTGGGAGGGAGGCAGGCACAGGGGTGACCCACAGACCTCAAAACCCCAGCCCTGGGCTGCAGGGCCATGCAGGGGAGGGGCCAGGGTGTCTGAATCCAAGTCCATGTCCATGTGTGCATCTCCCAGCCCAGGTCCCCAGCTGGCACTACGTCTCGTGCCTCAGGAACCTGCTGTAACTGCTCTCCCTCCTATGGGCCACAGCAGGCTGTCAGGGCCCCTGGTGGTATCAGGAAGTGCTGGGGGACAGGTAGGCAGCAGGCCAGCCACCCTCATTTTTGTCCTGACTGACAGCTCTTGGAGCCTGCATGCTGGCACAGGCCCTGAAACGCTCCCTCCCCAGGAGTGCCCTTCATGTCCACATGAAGGCCTGCTGGGATGACTGATGCTGCCCCCACGGAGGATCCTGCCAGCCTGCTGGGGTACTGGCCACGCCCCAGCTCTCAGCCCCGACTTCCAGGCCGAGTCTTTCTGAGCACTAGACCCTTCCCTTCAAGTGTCACAGACAGCCCTCTGGGACACAGAAGACAGGAGGAATCAGACACACTCACTCCCTGGGCAGCCTCTGGGGCATCCGAGTCCTTCAGTGCAAGGTCCCTAGGGACACCTGGACAGCCAGGAAAAGGGCACCACTGCCACGCAGGGACATGGCACGCACATGTACACACATCTGCTTGCATTCCCACGTGTGCACAGGCTCCCTCGAGGCACGGTGTGTGGTGAAGCACTGCTAGGCTAGGAGGTGGGGCTGCCAGGCCCTAGGGGGTGTTGGGCGACACCCTCATGGGAAGCCAGTGTGCTGCCGAGGGCAAGCTCAATGTGGCCAGTGGACACTACTGTTCAATCTCCAGGCTGTCAGACGGCTGCAGCGGCTCCGGGGGCTTGAAGCTGAGGACTTCCTGGTAGGTGAGCTCTGGGTGGGGGGCGTGAGGGAGACCTGGTGAGCCTGTGCCACCCCCAGCCCAGCACGTCCACCCCACGCCCATCAGGTGCTAGCCAGCCCCACGCACCAGGTCTGCACCCTCCAAGAGCACCCTCGCTCAACAGCCCCACCCAGCTCAGCTTGTCCCACCAAGGTGGGGGCCACACTGTCCCCCCTCGCACACGCAGGAAATGGGCACTGCCCGTCCTCTGCCCCCGATCGCGCATCCACCCTTCCACTCCTCCACTGTGCGCTCCTTGGCCTCCATGCTTTCGTCATAGGGCTCGGCCTCGGGCTCATCGTCCGGGTCGTGGTACTGGCTGAAGTAAGCGTGGGCCAGGGCCTCAGCAGCGCTGACCCGCTGGTCACTGTCCAGCAGCAGCATCCTTCCCAGGAGGTCCACAGCTGGGGGGTGCAGTGGGGAGGACATCAGCTCCGCCCCCAGGCTAAGATGGAACCTAGCCCCACCCCCAGGCCCATCCTCACCCAGAGGGTTGGCTCCTTGGAAGATGCTCCGCAGGTCCTTCTGGGGCATGGGGGGCAGGGACTGGATGTATGTCCGGGCCTGGGGGCACACGGACAGGCCTGAGGGGGTGGCTCACCCCCTGTCCTCTGGGCCGCAACTGGACAGGGGGCTGCAGAGCAAAGCCCCCAGGTTCAGTCATCCCAGCAGGCCTAGTCAAGGGCATCCGCAGACCTGAGCCCTCCTCCCGTCGCACCTGCTGGCACCTCCTTGCCTGCCCCAATGTCCCCCAAACCTGGGCCCACCACCTCCTTTCTCCAGTGTCCAGGGGCAGGACATGGTCAGGGCAATGATTTTATCCTTACTGTCCCTTGGACAAGGACGTCTTCTTCACCACCCAGTCCTTACTGTCCCTTGATGTCTTCCCCACCCCCATCCCCTGGTGTTGGACCTGCTCCCTCAGTGGCCTGTGCTCCCCATATGAAGCCCAATCTGTTCCCCACCCCGGGTCCCCCTCCTGAGGTACAGAGGTACTCTGGGCCTCAGGCAGCAGAGGGGCCAGGCTCACGTGCTCAGAGGATATCTTTGCCAGGACCTCAGGGCTAGGTGTGCCTACCACCTCCATGATACGCTTCAGCTGGTCGATGTCTCCTTCACTCAGGAAATGCCACTAGCCAGGCCTGGACCCTCCCGAGCGCCCAGAGCCAGGTCTCGGGATGAGACCCTGAGTGGGTTCTCCTACAGCAGCACAGTAAGCCCACGGTGCAAAGTGGGGGCAGTGGGGGCAAGACCAGCCAGGGAGGGCCAGAGCCCACCTGTGGCCCCAGCCCCCAGTCAAGAGGGGACCCCAGATCAACTGTGCTCCACAACCAGGCCAAGGATACAATCGTTCCCTGGGAAGAGAGCCTTCCCCTGCAGCAACTCTGCCATGATGCAGCCCACAGACCAGATGTCCACTGTTGGGGGGAGAGGTTCCATCAGTCTGCCTACTGCAGGCCCTTCTTTGGGGAGTTCCCGCACCATGCCAGCCCAGCAGACCTCCAGTCACACCCAGGCCCAAAGGCAGGCTGCCCCTTCTTCCCTCTCTGTTCTCAACCTTGGGCAGGGGAAAGGGAACATCCTAGACCCGCCTTCCTCAGGCCCTTCTGAAGGTCTGTGTCTGATGCTGGTCTCAGCCCTGCTTTTTCCCCAAGGCTGGGCACAAGCCCCTACTCTCCCTTGGCCCACCAGCCCTCTGTGAGCTCTGCCTGACCACCTGGCCCCGACAGGCACCTGTCTGGTTATAATGCATCCAGTTGAGCATGATCTCAGGTGCCCGATACCAGCGTGTGGCCACATAGCCAGTCATCTCCTCGTCAGCCTGGCGTGCCAGCCCAAAGTCCAAGATCTAGGGCGACCAGGCAAGGTTCTCAGTTCCCACTGGCTGCCCCTGCCCACCCGTGCCCATGGCACCTCACCCGGAGCTCGCAGTCCTCATTCACTGCCACGTTGCTGGGTTTCAGGTCCTGCAGGGGGTGAGGCTGTGAGCCAGGTGCACCCAGAGGGCCCCCATCCAGGGCCCTGACTACCCCGTGCACCTACCCGGTGGATGATGCCTGCCGAGTGGATGTACTGTGGAAGGGGAAGATCGTGATGAGCCTCGACTTCCTCCCTCTCCCTTCCATCCCCCCCAGTGTCCCGCACGGCGGAGGGACCCTGGTGCTGAGGGACCCTGGCACCACCCCTCCAGCAGTGAACCTTCAGCCCACGCAGCAGCTGGTAAACCAGGAACTGGACGTGCTCGTCGCTCAGCGCCTGGCACTTGACGATATTATTCAGGTCTGCGCCCATCAGGGTGGTCACCAGGTACCTAGGTAGGGGTCAGGGGTCAGGAGAGAGCGCCGCCGCCCACCTCCCAGAAAGTGCTCCCCAGGCCGCAGAAGCCCCAGCCCGGCGCTCACACTTCGCTGAAGTCGTCGATGGACGTGGCCGGGGTAAAGACATCCAGAAGCCCGATGACCTGGTGTAGGGAGCTATGGTTCAGCCCTGGACAACCCCAGTCCGGCCAGGCCCCGACCCCTCTATGGCCCCGCCCCAGGGCGGTCCCTCCCATTGACTCCGCCCCCAGAGTCTCCAAAGAAAGCACTCTCCGCCACAGCACCCTGTACGCTTGGGGTCCGCCCTGCCCAGTGGCTCCGCCTCCACAGAGCTCCAGGCCCCTATTGGTCCGCCCCGCCCAGTGGATCCATCCCCACAGCTCTCCAGGCCTCCATTGGTCCCCCCCCCCTCAAACCGCCAGTAGCTCCGCCCCCTGAGCGCCCCGCCTCCGTGGGTCCGCCCCGCCCAGTGGCTCCGCCCCCACAGCGCTCCAGGCCCCCATTGGACGACCACCGGGACGCGCCAGCCCCAGGGCCCGGGCCGCAGCTCACGTTCTCGTGCTTCAGGTGCTTGAGCAGCCGCAGCTCGCGGTACGTCCTCCGCGCGTGGATCAGCGACTGGAAGGGGCGCGACAGCTTCTTCACTGCCACCTTCTGGCGAAGCCTCGAGTCGTAGGCCGAGCTGGAAGGCGGGCGAGTGAGGCCGCGCCGGCGGATCCGGACCCACACTGCCCGCCGCCCCAGGCATGCAGGCAGGGAGCCGGCAGGAGACTGGCCGACTCCGGGGCGCCGCGCCGCCGGCTGCCTGGCCCGGGCCCTGGCCTCCCCGCTGCGCTGGGCCCAGCGGCCTCCCTCCCACTGTCAGCGCCTTGCTCAGATGCGAGCGCTCGGATAGGGTCTCTGTCCGTTTGCTGACAGCCCTTTCAGACACCAACTCCGCAAGCCCAGGGATGCCTCTCTGCCCCCCACCCCAGCCTCCGCAGACCGAGAGCCCAGGGCTACGACGGGGCTGGAACCTCTGGCCTCCTGCTTCCGTGCCCCACGGACTCTTCCCCCAACGCAGGGCTAGGCCTGGGAGGAGCCCTCCCCGCAGCCAGCATGGAAACGACCTGTCAGGAGACGCTCCTCTCCTTCTCTCTCCGCCCCTGGGTTCTGGAGGGCTTCCTCCAAACTCCGAAGTCAAATGCCTCAGGCCCCGCAGCAGCAGAGCTCCAGGGAGGCTCCCTCCATGGTGCCAAAGCCCTAGGACCCTCTACACCCTGCCTGGGCGTGAGTCCTGGGAATATTCCAGCCAAAAGTGCCTATGGCATCACTACTATAACCCTGAGCAACCGTACGGTATGAACTGTACAGCAGAGGGGGTGCCCGGACACTCAGGATGTCTCCGCTTGCCCAGCCCCACTGCTCAGAGGTCCAGCCCCTCTGCTGCCTGAGCCTCGGCAGCCACTGCCACTGTACTCAACCATCAATGGGGCACCGTCACTTCTCACCCACTGGTGGTCCCCACTGTCCTTAGGACCAGGACCTGGCTCCTGAGAGCGGCTTGGGGCCTGCTGCTTTCCCTCCCTCCCTCCAGCTCTACTTCCTGCCAACCGGGCTCCCTTCCCCTCGCCCCAGGAAGAGCGAGTGGCGCCTCAGGCCGTCTCTGAGCTCAAACTAGCTGGGAGGCTCCCGAAGGGGCTCGGATGTCCACGGTGCCGCGGTACGTTGCAGGGACTTTCGCCAGGCGCTGGCCATCCGTGCTGCACCGCGCCCAGCCCGTGACCCACCCTGCAAAGGTCCAATCACCTGGGGGGAGGATGAGGGGAGTGGCCCCTCGTCTCTGGCAGCAAACCCTCTTGCCCGACTGCGTCTGCGCAGTGGAGTTGACAGGAATCGGCACCCTATCCCCAGCTGCCGCCGCGGTACCAGCGGAGCCCAGGAGAGGCCCATCCTTGGCACCGAGCGCGTGGAAGCAGGGCCGGGGATGCAGCAAGCGAGACTTCCAGACTCCTCCCCAACCCCCAGAAGGGCAGTCCCCCGGGCAAGGGTGAGTCCAGGGGGCTCTCCAGCTCCCTGCGAGGCCCTCCTGCATTGTCCCCAATCCTGCCCCTGCCCTTGAAGACTGTGGCTGAGCCTAGAGAGGCAGAGACGGCTGAAATGGCCCACTCAGAGTGCCTGCAGGAGGCAAGAACCAGCGAGACCAGCCGGGGACCTTCAAGCCTCTGCTCCTGCCTCGGGAAAGTGCCGTTCCTAACGGTCTGCCCCGCCCCGTCGGCCGCTGACCTCCCTCCGGCGGCTGGCAGCCATCTGGCACCAACACCGGTAAGCACCCTGCTAGGTGCTGGGGGCGCCTCTCAACGTCCACGCCCGAGCCTGAGCCTCGCCGTCAGCACCGAAACGTCAACGCAGGGCTCCCGGGAACCGCCTCGCCCTAAGTCCTCTCCGGACCCCAGTGCCAGGGGCCCGGGTCGGATACCCCAGGATCCAGCTGCGGGGCTGTGACCTGAGCTCCCTTGCGGGGGACAGAAATGGGTGCAGGCGGAGACCCCTCTGCTGGGTTTAAGCCCATCCTGGGAGTCTGAGACCCTGGAAAAGGCGGAGTGGCGAGGCCCTCGGGGGAGCCTGAGCCCGCCCAAGGGCGCGGGTCTTCATTGTCCCCAGCCCCCAGCTGCTCCGCGGCGCTGCCCTGCAGAGGGGCAGGGGGACGTCCGCCTGACCCCGGGGGCTGCCAGACCTTGCCTCAACCGGACACGCGCTCGGGTCTTCAGGGCTCGGACCCGCCCTCCTGCAGGAGGCCGGAGGACGCCCCCGCCCCGGCCGAAGCGCCCCCGGAGGAAAGTTTCCTCCGCGCCCCCCAGCTCCTTCCTCCGCGCGGCGCG